ATTTGATAAGTACAGTCTCGAAGCACTTTATGATGCAATCTGTTCTATCCTTCTATAAATATGTATTTCCCATATAACGAATGCATAGCTTAAATAAGTGATTTTGTCGAAAGGTAAATTTCCGTCGCTCAATTCTCTTTATTATGTTTATTTAATGACACATTGGGTTATTTTAATTACTTCAAGAATATTTCTTATTATTAAGTTATAATGCTGACGAAAACTTTCTTTTAGCCTCTCAATTGAATGACACGATTCAAGAATTGTGAAATCAATCCTTATCCTGTCCAACAAGTATAAATTATTTCTATTGTTAGCAAAGATGGATAGTGGTTATCAGTGGAATCCAGTTTGATGTTCGATTCGTCCTATTTGGGAGTCATCAGGTGAATGTACCTGTATTTCTGAATTGGTGTTCACTCGTTGACTCGAACGCCATCGACGGAATACGCACAGTATTCATATATACTAATAAGAGGGTGATCAATCCCACTCCTAAACACCAACGAGAAGATTCAAGTAAACAATACCAAGTGAATTTTTAGCTTTACCTCACTGCACAAGCGAGTGGATATCTGAACTCAGTAACCAGGTGGTGTTTGAAGAAAACGATACTGGGCTCGAGTACCGGAGTGAACAGTGATGTGCTCAAAATAATCTCAATAAATTTATCATCAGTACATAACCAGCTAGAAAACAGTCTGGGCAGTTTTTTTCATGAAAATGATAATAAAAACACGTCCAATCTATGGCAACACAAACCAACATTTACTGATTACTTTGAATGTTCTAAGTAGTATACAAATGTATTTCTAATGACTCTTATCAATAGTATTGAGATTTGTATTTAAGAATAAAAACTAAGAATTTAAAAGTTAATTTCTGATCTTGAATAACTCGTTCATACATAATATATGTTCATCGATTTTTTTAATGTTTTTTTTCAACTTGGTTTGTTCTTACTTCTTGTTCTTCCTACTTTCATCAACTCGTTCCTATTAGATGGTGGTTGGAGGTACTCGACAGGAAACCCTGGACCCGGGTTTCGTGCTACTTGGCACTCGTCAGCAAGGTGTACCCGTAATCTTGAAGGAACTGGTGGCCACATTGCAGCATGGTCGATAGCATTCGATGTGCACTAAATAAGGACTTGACATGCATGACATTGATCACCACCCAGTGATGATTAAGTATTTTAATTGTTCTGTGTTTGTATAACAACATAATATTGAATATTCAATATTGATTATGTTCTTTATTCCAGTTATACTTTCTATTCATTATTGTTAGGTGAAGTCAGAAAGTGAACTACATACATTTAACTTATAATCTATAACTAAGATAACAAATCTGGTTCCGATTGAAATCGAGTAAATAATCGGGGTACTTTGTAATACTTGAGGAACATGCTAAAGGTTGAGCGTTTGCAAGTGAGTCTGATATGTCCTGGGTTCGAGTCTCGTGGGGTGGGATCCTGGGTGCGCACTGGGGAGGAACCAACAATATAATGTATATTTGTCGCCCAGTAAATCCAAACTGTAAAGAATGTTTAAATCTATCAATTTGTCCATCTGCGTCGAAATTTCATACGAAAACAAAGAAGATCGACAATTGCATTTATCTCCCATTTCAACTACTACAAAATACTTTCTGAGATCATAAGTTATTTTTTTTAATAAATAAAACAATCATAATCAAAGCTCGTATGTTCCAGATTCAGTTCGTGAACAGATTTGGGATTTTTTACTTCAACTATGCTTGTTAGATACGGACCAAACTGAAAGATAAGGGAATGAAACAATATATTGTAAATTTACACAATATGTATATTTAGTTATTGGAAAACCTGCATTTCTTTAAATATTAGTTTACCAACGGAATAACAATTATCTGTTAAGAAATTGATTATAATTTATTTTTACCAAGTTTAAATAGTAAGTAAATTTCGTAAAATCAGAAATGTATTCGTTATGATTGACACGGGAAATGTAAGTGATGAACCAAAGCCATGTGAAGAAACAAACCAGACTATTGTATAGAGAAGTGCAGTTCCCAGATGTATTGATGAAATGGTGCGCAAATTTGTCCTTGTGCTTTTCGTAACAATTTCGTCTATTAGATGATAAGGTTTGATGGTACAACAGAGAACGCGCTGCTACTACACTAGTTTGTGCAGTATGGTAATATCAGTGCCACTGACAAAGTTTGTGTACATACACATACTCGATAAGGTGGATGAATTACAATATTAAATATGAGTTGGTTACATAAGCTATTCAAGAATTCCTCGAAGTATTCTACCCATCTATTACTCTGTCCTTGAATTCAGTGACTGGCTTGCCTTCCTTGTTGTTGACCAGTCTCCCTGGTTTACTATATTTCTCTAGCAGTTTCCTCAACGAGTCATGTAGTTGTCTCATATTTCCTTCTGTTACAGATATTTCCGCTGTCGTTGTCAGGTCTTCCACGAATTTCTGCTTGTCGGCTCTAATGCTCTTCTTCACTTGCTTGTTTGCTTCTGTGTATTCAGCCTGTGCCTTGACTTTCTGTTTTTGTTCGATTAATGTTAATTGCTGTATTTTTGTTCTTTCTTCCCTGAATCCCGTCCAGGGTTTCCATAGAGATCCATTCCTTATGATGATGATCCTTGCGACCCAGCACCTCCTGACACGTTGAAGTTGATGGTTCTTTGATCCCTTTTCAGCTGTCCTCTATAGTAGTTTCTTCTTCTTTGAGTAGATTTTGTAAGACATGGAACCTGTTGTTGAGAACTATCTTGAACTCGTTAAGTCTGTCAGTATCTCGGAATAAGGTTGTATTGAACCTTTGTAATTTTGTTTCTCCAGTTGTCCAGTCCTTTAGCTGCAGTTTCATCTCTGTCACAACCAGGTAGTGATCAGAGGCTATGTCAGCTCGTCTCCTGCTTCTCACACCCTACACTCACCTTTTGAATTTTTCAGTGACAAATATGAACGGTCTAGTTGTCCGTAGTGTGTTCCGGTGAGACAAATGCAGCTTTGTGTATGCGTTTGTGTGGGAATATTGTGCGCATATAACTATGCATTTGAATGAACTTAATTTTGTAAATCTGTCACTATTCTCGTTCGTTTTTTTACCAGTCCTCATATAAGAACATGGTTGAACAGGAAAGAAATTATATTCCAAATCACAAAGGTAGATGTAAGTAAGAAGCACAATAAGGAAAAACGTTAGTGTATCTATAGTTTTTACAAGGGAAGATTCTAGAGTCTTCTCTAAGTATCGACTAGCGCTGATTGGATAAGAAATAGCCAGTCAACATGCAGCAACACAATCGTGCACGAAAGATGCTTTAATCCAATATATGTCTCGCTAACACAGTCAGTCCATGTCGTCGCATGATATCTCCGTAACCGTTGTTGTCCATTCCGACTTTGGCGTTTAGATCTCCCATCAAGATTGTCAGTTTCTTTCCTGGGCGCTTCGCTACGATCGATTGTAACCTTTCATAAAAATAATTTTTATCGTCCCAATTGCTATCATTGGTGACTGCATAACAGGATAATATTCATTGTCATTCCCTCCTTCTTTGTTTTGAAGGATGATTTGATGATCAAGGGTCCATGAGATTTTCATCCATTAAGTGCATTTCTTGCTTCTTTGGACAGCATCAGTTCAGTTTCGTGAGTGTATGGAGCATCTTCCTCTTTGTGACCAGAGTAAAGCAGAATCTCTCTCGTACATAACCTTTGGTGTCCAGCTTTGTTCCAGCAATAGCGGTTATCAGGATCAGTAGTACACAATGGTTTAGGTATTACCACTAGTATAATCAAGTCGAAAAATTTACAACAGTGTTGGATTTAGCATGGTAGCATTATCATTGAGAATAACGAAAACCACTCAAAATCCTTTTATTTACTAAAGGATAACTGAAATTAATACTTTTCTGTGTAAAATCACATTTCAGGGATCCTAATGGAATAAAGAACAAGAAAAGATCCCATGCCAACCGTTTAGATGTACGTCTTACTAAAAATATGATTCTTCTTTCTAGAAATCACATTCACGGGTAATCCTGAATGGCTTTTGAAGAAATGTTTTACGTTCATCCTATTTCCTTACGTACAGATGGTAGCTATTTCTTGTTTTAATCAATAATGGATTTCATTACTAATAACTGGTCTGTTTACTGCCTTAGTTTTAGAAGGTGCCTGAGAAGAGCCACAAGTTTCCATAATCAATGTAGGTGTAAGAGGGAATTGTAGATAACCACTAACAGAATTCGTAAATATCAAGTGGCACATCGTAATGAGAACATCCATATACGGTCAGTTTTTTCCTGATTACTTGAACAGCTAAAGTTACTCCGAATCTTTTAGTAGACAGTTTCATCAAGACACATGATGCACTTTTATGGACAATGTAATTTATAAAAAAATCAAACTAACTGAGTAAACCATTACAATGAAGAATGTGTCTTCTGTAACAATTCGTTCTTGCCTGTAAAGTGGCATGCGTTGTTTAACAGACAATTATTTGAGAATAAAATATTATCGCTTGCCACACGCAGATCTCACAAGAAGACAAGAAATTGAAAAAGAACTAAAACTGAGGTTAGACGCTGGCTAGAAGGACCCTAGTATTGCAATTTTCGAGTGATAAGTCTTCGAAGAGTGTGGTGTCGAGGCCACTTTGGACTTCATTACAGTTTCCGAATTGCTTAGTGATAAATTCGCACCTGATATTCCTTCAGTTTTCTTTCCTTCCAAACAGAGAATTTACGAGGACACTCCAGTAAAGTTCAAAAGCCCAGAACAAATTACTTGTCAGTTGACTATTGACTTTCCCATCGAATCATCAACGAGTGGAATTCATTACCTCAGCACGTGGTTGAGGCTTCATCCGTTGACGCTTTTAAAAGAAAAATGGATCGAATGAAAGAATATAGTCGACGGAACTAACACAAGCCATCAAACCTCATTACCTTTTAAAACTGAAACTTTAATCAGTTTTGCAACACCACTTTTTCAAAAAGCATAATCTGTTATCGTTAGAGGTGGTTATTCTTGAAGTGTTGCGTATACTGAAAATGTGAAATCGAGAATGCCTTCTTCATGAAAATCATAACGTACATATAAATGTTTAAACGTACGAAAGAGTCATGTAGTTGTATACACCGTTATCTAGATATCGGTATGTTCCCAATCTCCCAATTATGAGGAAAATGTGATCCATCCTCAGGTCTGGGGAAGTTCTTCAATATTTCCTCTAAACCTTGGGGAATTCCCCAAAATTTCTCCAGACTTCGTGGAGGACCATTTGACTTTGGGGACTTCCACAAAATTGGGGAACTAGGTACGACTGCAGGTAAAGTACCAATTGTGTATATCATGGATTGTGTGAGTCGCCGTGAAAATCAAAGCGCGAAACTGTCTACGTTTCGATTTTCTTGTAACTCAGAAGAAAAGTTTGGTGAACTTTGTAGACATATCAATATCTTGTTCTGGAGATTAGTTAATTCAAATTAGCATTTTTCAGTTTCATTGGGTTCTCTGAGTGCATTCAGTATCAGGTTTAAGGATTTCACTTCATCAGTCAAGCAAAACGGGACAATTATTATATGTAAAATTCATTCAGAAAATAGCGGTCACTATACATTAATTTCATCAAAATGTTTCCATAAGTCAGCGTACCCAGTTGGGATTATATGATGCATATTCTGATGTAATAATGAAGATATGTTCGCTAATATATTACCATTGCTTAAGTAACTTGTAAATAACTCATTTTCCACATGAGTTTTGTTGCGTCAGTGTTTAAATACAGGTATCAAAGTTGTATTTTATCCAAAGATTTCCAATGTAAGTAAGGACCTTAATCATCAAATTTGTTTTTTACTAGCCTTTTATAATCTTTACCATACTTTCATAATGAAAGTTAAAACTAGCTTTGAAGCCACTTTACCCCATTTATGTTCGTCTCTTTTTTATCTGAACCACGTTTGTTGTCTCTGTTTTAGTACGATTAAAAAGCTATAATTTCTGAGAGTAACTGACTGGTCTCAAAGTGTTGGTGTGTAGAAACGACAGCGAATTATTCCATCACAAGTTCAGTAAATCTGGAATAACAACTGAAGTAGAACAACGTGAATTCATTGTATTTAGTGGTTTTTTGTCAGCTGCTTACAGCCACATACATTTTACGATGTAACACTGAGGTATGATACGGTGTGAAGCAAGTGAGCTTGTTGGTGAACTAAACTAGATTAATACTTTAATACGCATACGATTGCAAGAAGCTGATGACGAACCACAAAATATATTGAGTTCGTACAATCTTGCCTCAATTGTTGTTCTGGCTTTATTTAAATTCATAAGGGGAACCCAATGCATGAAATATTCCGCTATATATGTTTTTAAATCTTTCAGATATTACCAGGATTAATTCCTTGATAATTTATTCTACGATATCTATCTTTTAAATGTTTGGTTGTACTGAAAACGCCTGACGGTCATTTTTGGTCGTCGAGAAAGTGAAGATATGTCACAAGGTCTCGTGTTTATTCGATGAAATAGGAATGGTCACGAATACGGATTAAAGCAATTTGAACTCTTTACATCTTTTGCATTGGTTCAGACTAATTTTATTTCAAATTTCATTGATAGTAAAGTTTCTGAAAGAGTCCAGTTTTAATATTTTTGGCTCTTAATAAGTAATAACAAGTTTTAATATGCCGAACCAAACATCAGTTTCATGAGCAGAAATTTAGGTACCGCCGCTGTACAGCATTCATTCTTTCGTGTACTTGTCGGCTACAGGGGGAAATCAAAATCATAAAGTCTAGATATTACTGTTAGACGAGTCGTATCTATCAAATTTTTACTACAGTAACAAATTTCGACATTTCACATGGTCCCTTAATTAAAAAAATTAAAATACCTAATGAAGTGTATAATCACACAAAAACCAAGATTGTATTGAGTGGTTGGAGCTCAAATCTTTTTAGGGCGCCAGTTTCTTCGGTGTTGCAGATATATTTTATACTAACTACCAGAGTTTGCCAGGAACCCGAAGTCACTTTTGATGATTAGGTTTTGTATATTTTATTACTTTTACCGCTATATGACTTATATTTTCCCAGTTCTATGACAGTATTAACTTTCATCTCCAGAGAACACTTTACTTTTGTGTGCTTGTAGTGAAAACAATTTGTATTCAAGTCAGATCATACCATGCATTACTTATCTGTAGATGTATCTGGTTGTAGTAGTCATATCTATAACGCAACTGATATTAGACTAATTATTTTAAAGAACACTGTACACACCTTATTATGGAAAAGTTTACCTTAGGTATTCTTCGAGTATGGTTATATTCGGGTGATACTGATGCAGTGTCTGGAAGTACAAGTTATATTATCGCATAGATGTTGCTAAGAACGCCTAAAATGAAATCCCTCTTCGGATACATCTCAAACGATGCATAACATTTGTCGTAATGTCCGTCAATTCAGGTCCGTCTTAAAATAAAAACTGCAAAATACACTGAAATGTACAAACACATAAAAATACCATTGAAATCAGTAACTATAAATGATGTTTTTAAGGAAAATAACCTACGTAATGCGATATGTTTTGAATTAACAGTGATGATCGTTTATTAACTTATATTATTTCACGCAACATTTAGCGTTGCAGATGATGATCCCGCAAAAAAACGAAACTTATAGCAGATTCTTGGCAAATATTTCATTAGTGGTTGCGAAAGTGTCAGTAGCAGTTTATCTTGTCAAACAGACGCCACCAAGTATTTCAAGCTACGATTTTGTCAGATTTCTTCAGAATCAGTATATGAGAAGGGAGGACGAAAAAGAAGCACTTATTAATTATTATTTCTTAAATGAAAAGCAGCCAAGTGACCACAATTCAAATTGCGAAATCAGCTTCAAAATGGGGACTAAAACAACAGGTGATATTTTAGTTTTCTAACAGTACACTTTTACTTTATTTGTTTTACAGACCTCAGCACCTATACAGCTTTTAGTTTAAGTCAGCTAAAGATGACCAAATTCAATCTGCAGAATATAATGATGTTTTTTACAAATCAAACAGCTAATCAGTTGAAATATTATTTACAAGAAATTTTATCCTCATCCTACAATATCCTTTTTCATGCTTTTAAAGCAAATTGTGAGAAAGGATTGATTTCTTCAAGGAAACTGAATACCTTCCTTAATATGAAACAAGATGCAGAGTTTACATTTCGTTTATGGATTAACAAAACAATGGAGCTGCTCAACGAAAACCCGGAGAGTCTAATTCAGTGTCTTGATCTTTTAAGGAAATTTGTTGTTTCCAAGGGTTTCTCTGCAGAAACAAATAGTCTTTGGGATTCAGCAATACTTGAGTTAAATTTGATCCTTTCCAGTTCGTTCAAAGCACATCTAAACACACTATATCGTACTAGTATTGCCCAATTTACCACTGAGTTCGTAAATGATGTATTAAAAAAACTGTGTGAAAATTTTCAGACATTAGCTTCGAATCATGGAAAAATGCTGTTTCTCCAAGTAAGCAGGTGTGCCCATATAATATGGCTCTCCGTGAATCTTTTAAAATTTTTTGATGATGATGATCAAATTTTCGACAGAAAACAAGCCTCTCAGTGGGTACAGATTTTAGACAGATGGCTTGAAGCACAAAAACCATCCACCAATCAAACAGAAAGGTTTTCAATGGCTAAACTTACTGGATTAATGTTTACTACATTTGTTTTAAAAAATAAAATTATCAGGCTCACTGAAAAGTTTTAAAAGACAATAATACTAGAATACATAATGTGCATTTGATTGGTTAACTTTGTTAAATATTTTGTACTGAAATAAAATAAATTCAAATTTTTGATAAGGATAATAGTTAAACCACTTATGACTAACTTAGTTTTTCAAGTAACATCTGTTGCTGAGCGAGATGGTGTATTTGTGAGACTTTTATTGCCTTAATAAAATCAAGGCGGAAAGAATAGGATCCAAGTCATTTGTGGCGAAATTCGGATAACTTTGATTTAAAGTTTGTGTTGGTGATATTGTTTCGAAGGACGATGAAAGTTTTAAGATTAAACCACTAAGCTCAGAAAGCGAAACTCCACCAAAATAAAGCTTTATCCCCTCAGTACTTAGACATTTCCATTTTTAAATATTCACTACTGTCTACGCTCTCATTTAATTGAGTAACCAGCAATCTAAGGTGAAGATAGTTTTCCACGAATGGTAGATGTTGGTATTGTCCGTGAATATCAAAATAATCAATAGATTTTGCCCGAATGTAACGAAAATTGATGGGATTCCAGTTTTCTTACCAATCATTTCCATGTGGTCCTATATCGTAAAAGTTTTATCCGCTATTATGGTGAAGTATGTAGCCTTAGTTACAGTCGTACCATATTTGTAAACCATTATATGAACTTATCAAAGGTAAAATAGAAAAATAAAGAACATAGATCCCAGCGTATATGTACATTGGCAAAAGTTACCGTGCCGAATTTTCGTTGTGTAGTACAAAGACGAAGCAATATTCATCTAAAATTAAATAATAATCTAACTTTTCAAGTATGTGAACACTATGTGTTGAATAATAAAAATCGATTTTTAGATCCTTACCGTGAATCTTATCATCTAAGTTGTCGGTTGTATTCATAACGTTACGGTGAATCAATTATTTGGTAAAAATCTAAGAAATAATTACTCAGAGAACGCAAAACTAGGTACACTAATTAAACTCAATTACTTTCTTCATAATGACGTAAAGTGTGATTTTACTCGTGAATGGTCAGTAATATTATATTAAAGTAATTATGAATTTAGATAGTGATAACATATGGGTTAAAAATTTCAATTATTTGAAGTTGAGGGAGAAAGCTTCTAAAGTGACCAGTATTTGTCTTCAACTTTTGAGGCTGTATATATCAGATTCAGATGGGTGTTTTCTAACAATCTGAAAAAAGACAAACATAAACAACAGATTTACAGATAAGATTTGTTAAATAATTTGATATCATTTTGATACACTCAACAACTGAGCTTATATGATGAAAAGTATATCACAAAGTATGTCTATCTAACAGTAGCATCTCAAATACATTTACATATATTTAAACTAGATAACTGTAATGTCTGGTAAGAATTTTCATATAAATTTTTTTGAAACATGGCAAGCTGAGATTGAGAAAAGGATGTAAGTTTTTGTTTGGCCGTGAACTTGATTACATAAATCATTTTTATTTAGTTAAGTAGTTCGTTAATCTGCTTATATTGTTATTCATTTGCAAGTCATATAACGTGTCTTGAAAGACATGTGGATGAATCATAAAACAAGTGAAGATCTTCATTTATATTTTAAGGAAACAATAGGATAACTTATTCATAACTCAGAAACCATTCGTTCTGACGAACTTAGTTTTTAGTGATATCGTTTTACGGCAACACAACTAAAATGAAACAAAAGTTTACGGTTTTTAAAATTGTTGAGAGAATAAATGTTCATGTGGATTACTCACATACACAACAGTAAAATGAACCTAATCTCATTGGCATGGTCGACTATATTCTGGAAACCTAAAGACTATTTGTTAGATTTAGGTGTTAAAAATAACAACCGTAAGTCAGAGTTCGTTTCACATGCATTTTTTGGCACTATGTTAAGAGAACAGTGATAAAGAATAGGATTTTAATAACATCAACATTTACCTGTGGTAATTGTAAAGCATATGATCTGAATTCGTAAGCCCATGTGATAAAAAATACTATGATGATAAATCCTGCAGCCCACTCAAAACTTGTACTGCATAGATAAAATGAAAATCCCTGAAAGTAAAACCATTTAGGCATCAAACGTTATTCTCATGTAATATTTGAGTTCTACATTTCCATATAATTATCTGGTTATTTGAACCTTGTCATATTCCAGATTAAATATTTAGATAAAAAAGCAACCACCAGATTCTAAGATATTTTGTTCATATGAAGTAAACCATACATGAATTATTAAACAAACAAACCGTAACTAAGTTCCTTAAAGTAAATAACAAAAATTAGTCACGACGTTTCGATAAGAAACGACATGTTTTACAAACATCGAGATACTATATAAATATTTAAGTAAAACTTAGAAATTTAAGCATTATTAGAGCTAGTTAATTAAACATACAATCATAAACTAATATTACGTTTTATTCATCACAACCTAATATAGACAAGCTAATGGGTCTTAAGGTGACTTTATTCATCTCATGACAGTGCCATGATTTCTTGCAGAAACTTTGAAAATTCAACCAGAAATAGGATGTGTATGTTAATATAATAGATCTTGCTTCACTTGGATTAAGTTTAAAGTGTGATAAGAACTGAATCAAAATGATCGATAAGTCGGCAACAAACAATTTCAAATTCCTGCCATTAACACGTGTTATTAATAATAAACACATAGCTGAATAGTGATATGGATGAACAAAGCTTAAATATTTACTGAACAGTTGTCAAACAAATTACCTTTGCAGGTAGTGACAAACATTTAAAGGATGATTTTCATTCTGAACTGAAGTTAATGAGAGATTCATTCACCACGAAGAGGCATTGAACAATGATTGTTATATAGAATTTAATGTTAAAATCTACAACCGTTAAGGTGTAGAAGGATATCACAAACAGATCAATAAGTTTCACTGCGAAGAAGGAAGTCTACCATTAGTCAAGAAAACAAACACTTATGGTTCTCCCTAACTTGTGATCATTATACTTTGCAAATATCTCCAAGAAATTTAAACATATGAATATAGAGTATTGTGCCGCACCACAAAACTGAAGAAATACACTTACACCTTGACCAGGATGCCGATAAGTCAAAGATTCTTCTTGTGTACCGTTGAAATTTATCCTGGAAACTGTATGACATATCGAAACTAAAACCAAAAATTTCAAAGTAGTCGAGTAATTTATCAGCGCAACAAAGTAAATGAAATAATTTACTAGTGGGTGACGAAGGAAAATCGTGCTACTTAACTTAATGACTGAAATGAAAATAAAGACAATTAAATTATGACTCCATTGCTCGATAATACCGTACTTGCCGTGAGATTTGAAACTTCTAGGTTAAAATCTTTGTACGGTCGTTGATGAGGAATTTTAAGGAGATTAAAAGTAGGATGAAGTAGATTACCAGGGTATTTCCGTCCAAGGCATCTCTCATTTCATAAGAAAACTTAATTTTCTGAAATTCAAAATTATAACCGACTTAATACCATCAAAAGTTCACTAGTACTGTGATTAAGTAAACTAAATGACTTTTTAGTACACTCAGCTTTCCTTTCACGAACTTTAACTACCTTTTGAACGTCTGTATACCTATAATCCAAATTCACGCTATACCACTTTCGATAGTTTCGAGCAAAGCATTATTATCCAGCCATGATGTCTTTCGAAGTTATGTCTGAGATTCTAGGATCAAAGTTGTCAACTATCAAATTACTTATAATCATATTATTCCTACAGTATCATTATCACATACATATTTCGTTTCACCTTTTTATGCAAATATAAGTGTTTATCTAACAAAATACGTTCTAGAGAGAAACATTATTTTATAGGACTCTAAATCACTGCAGGACGCGTATCATCACAATAGTAAACAGTCATCGACTTTCAACATGGCGTCAAATATATCGATCGATTAAGCAGTGATTTATTCTCCGGTACAACAGTAGGGTCGCATTCAGTGGAGCAGACATGAATAAGAAAACTGAATAATAAAATTGGTAACCACTAGATGTAAAAATGAAGGCGACAAGTATTGTAAAGAGATGTCTAGTCAAAGGTCAGTGATCGTAAGTAACCATGTACGAATATGTATGTAGTCACGGAAAAAGAGCATCTTGTATCCAAATGAATATATTTTGGTAATATAACCAGAGAGACTTAAAAACTAATTTATGTCGAGAATTGATAGTTTTACTTTCTATACGAAAAAAGTTTACTAGTATTCTCTGTGTTTTTTGTGACTTACAAAAACTTGATGTTATTCCTGCCATAATTCCTAAGAGAAGTCTAAAAGCCCATATACACCAATGTGTTCCAAGGTATCGCTTGCTAACTAAGGCACACAAAATGATATAAATAGTGGTTCCGAAAAAAGCCATCCCAGCACCAATATCATGTATTAATTCAACGTTAACTTGCTAAAAATATAAAAAATCAAAATAATATGAATAAATATGAACATATAATAAGAATGTAAGGTGAATATTTATGACAGATGAAATTTGTTTGCTTCAAACGCCAACTTGTTATCCAATAACCTGCTAAGTCCCCAAAGCCACTCACTTGCACAAGGAATTTGAACCGAATTTTTAACGATGTCGATGATTCCGCGTGTTCTGGATTCTACTTCTACCTAAATAGTACTTATTCTACATACATCTGTGTCATAATGATATACAGAGACAATCCACACAGGATGCATAAATCCCGACCAAGGCTATTATTACACATATTTTTATTGGGTAATTACTAAGTAACTGAATTATATATATTCTTTTATCATGAGCTTTCATTTGACCTATTGGATACTGTTATACGATTTACCATTCTTAACTTATTCCCAATTTATTAGTTACAGTCTCTTACACTCACAGTCACTTTGGGGCTGATTTGGCATAATTTTTATTTCTTATTTCATGGTGTGGTGCGGTCTGGTCTACTAGTATATAAACCACGTACGTCTGAAATACGCGATTCATACAGTAGAAACTGAGACTAAATTCTCAGCTCAATGGGTAGGACTAGGCAAGAAACACCAATAAAGATTAAGAGTTGACGCAAGGCTTCTAATGCTGCTTAACGTGTTATTGTGTAGTGTGTGCTACCGATGTCGACATAAGTAGTGTATAACGCTAGTCAGGGATAGAATTTCTGGCAGTAGAAGGTCGAGGAGGAAAAGACGGGAACAGAAAACAATTGATTTAAAAATGCAGGAACAATGAAGTCTGAGACAATTAATAAACAATTTACAAATGAAGCATTTACTGTATGGTTCTCAGATTTTACTAAGACGTTCTGCAATTTTGTGTTCAAATACATTCGATTGTCCCCAGTGGTGTACTTATTCACCACAATAATTTTAACACAAGAACAAGGTTATATAAGTCGATATTCAGATTGTCGACTTTGTCACCTGATAACTATCAGATCACAAGCCATTATAAAAATATCACAGATCAGATAATGACCACCACAACTCTGATCATCATTAAATGAAGTGCATTTAACAGATTATTAAAATAATAGTCTTGAATGCGTAATTTATCTTATCATTAGCATATAAAAATGTAAGAACATTATCGTTACAAACAAAAGAAAAAAGTTATTTGTTTCACGGGGCTTTGTTCACTAAACCTCTAAAAAAACTGCAGATCCTGGGTTTGATTCCCAGTCGAGAGTTGGATGCACCCTGCTGCTGATTGACATCGTTTTCGGTAGTTATCTACCTAAGGACATCTGGAGATGCAAATTGTAAAAAAACACTGATTAATATCTTCAATAATGATATACGATTTACGTTTCGTTGTTCGATTTTACACGCCCAGTGATTTGCGGTTTTTCTTTAGAAGTTGTTGATGTTCATTTTATTTTCCATGGTTGTACAGTTATAAATTAGTCACTTCAGATAATGACTATAGGTGTTTTCTTTCAAATGATGCTATACAAACGATAAAGAAAGTTACAAAAACACTTTTAGGTTAACAGATTTGATATTTCAGTTGTCCGAAGGCTTAACAGAATTTAGTATAATGATAAAAACCGATGGATGTAGACTGTTTTTGTTGACAGAACAACATAATCTGTTTCATGAGTACAAAAAGTCAAATATGGAAATGTGTATATACTTCAAGATGGATTTGATAGAAATTATACCACTGATTATCTGAAAGTTAAATACCACTTTTCACTTCAGACTACGAGTTAATAAGCTAACGAATTTCACAACGAGATTTGGATTCAGAAATTTTTCCTGTACTTGAACGTTTGTTCAAAAAAGTTTGATAAACAAACTGTACCCATTCATCGAAATTATAATCCGATTATATGTATGGGCAGCTCTTTACATTTATTACAGATACATGCATTTCAAATAGATTCATTTATGTAAACTTAGTTCTTTGTTCTTGCTCTTTTCAATATGTAAACTTACTTGGAAATTCCCAACCAATGTTAAACCAATTGAAGCAACTAGAGACAATAAAAGCATAAAGTTAAGAACACATTTTGGTTGATGTATGCCCATAAATTTTGTTCTCTCCAATGCGATTAAATACCAGAAAAAGGAGCATATCAAACCTATAGTAGTGAAAAAACCACAACGGATAAAAATTTCACTAACTATATCAAGCTAAAAAGAACTTGTTTTTAGGTGGTTTCATAAGAATACCGAATATTTTGTATCTTTTTAAGATTTGCAAATGATATTTAATATGTGAATGTTTTTTTATAAGGTAAGACAGAACGATTTCAACCAAAATAAGAGAAAATTGACTTTATTGTAATTCAGCTAAGTTCCAAAGTTTTGTTTTACGTGTTGTCATTGTAACTTGTGAGTTGGTCTCATAATTTTACTTTATAGAACACGTCATTCATCATGTGATGAAAATTAATGTTTTAGCAAGTATTTATACATTAAGTGAGGATCGATATTGTCATTGGATTTTTACCATAAGAAAAGGTTTGTAAATAAGCAGAAGAATTACTAATTCGTTAAACCAAAAGGTAGAAAAAAATTATTCTAAAAAATCTGTGGTGCACACATTTACTATGCGAACATACACATGCAAGAATCATGCATAAAAATGCATATACTACATTACTACTGATAAACCGAGGTTTCCAATTAAACATAGCGTTCTAACAGTTCACATCAATCAAATCACCTAATTAGTTTATGATTCAAAACAACAATAATAACGTTAGCATGAAACGTTTATAAATTTCGTTGTACTGAAATAGAAACAACACTAGTTTATTACAATTGATTGATCACTGGGTGGTGATCAATGTCATGCTTGTCTAGTCCTTATTAGTGCAGATCGAATGCTATCGATCATGTTGCAATGTGGCCACCAGTCTAGGTGACTCGACACTGCGGGCACTATGTATTGAGATTTAGATGGTGGTTGGAGGTAGTCAACAGGAAACCCTGGACCCGGATAACGTCTGTGACTGTGAAGCTGGGTGACACGAGATCGAATCCGCCAGGGAGCACCAGTTCCCTCAAGATTACAGGTACACCTTGCTGACGAGTGCCAAGTAGCACGAAACCCGGGTCCAGGGTTTCCTGTTGACTACCTCCAACCACCATCTAAATACTAGTTTATTGTATAACAAATGAATAAAATTAAATTTTCTATCAATGAATAATGGGACGAAATGGCCGTCGAGTGCTTCCTGGTTTTCAATGGTGGCCTAACATTGATCAGTTATTGATCTCAATTAAAAACTCAACAATCTCCACAATCCTATACTAATATTAACATAAAGCCGGTTTTCACTCGCCTAGGATTGAAAGGTGAGGAGATTTAATGAAGGATAGACGAAAGGCTTAAAGCAGTTCTGAAAGGAATGTTTCCTGTAGCTTAACTACTTCAGCATTAAACACTAAACGTTTCTTAAACGAATCAAAAGTGGATTAATACCCCTCTAAGGTAATCTCTAAATGTGTTTACGAATCCACATGTATTTGTGGAAGTAAAAACATAGAAGGGCTGAAATAGGGGATTTACAAGGTTTCCCAAACGCATTCGCTCAAAGCTGTGCTTGAAAGGAATTAAGGTATTCATAAGTGCGATCACCAGACATTTGATCGATAGCGCTCACAATACGGATGCAACAAAAATCTGTAATAATTAACAAATAGTAAACATCACTTCTATTCCGCTTTTCAGAGGCTATAAATTCAAGCGCTTTCAACTTGACCTCTGTACACAGAGCAAGTGTGCGGTAACCTTTTCGTCGTCATGATCGTTTGCCAATTACATTCTTACTTTTGTGTACTTAATAACTTAAAATAAAACAAATTACAATCACACACACCTGTGGCATCAACTTGAATTTTGTGTCAGATAGGTGCTTTGACTAACACTCATTTATTTACAATATTTTCTAGTCTCATGCACTTAGTTCCTTTTACTATCTTGAAGACAGAAAGAACAAAATATTGATCAGATAAATGCAACAGAGACTTAACTGGCTCAACAGAAAGACTAATCACGAGCATACTCAGGGAGTTATTGTAGAGGAAAAATATTAATAGCCTTCACCGCATATGTATAGCCTGCTGAAGATTCATAAATAGGGCATTTCGCTTAAGCTTGTTTTGTCAACGGTAAATTCACCTCATCACAAAGTTGTACACCGGCTAGAGGAAAACTTAGAATCCGATCGTCACCACTTAACCTCTTTTCGATTTGCTGACAGTCTCAACTACATAAATATTGCTGGTAAGTCGATGGTTTATTTTGAAATGACATCTCTTCTTACAAAAATAACACTTCAGATAACCATAGACATAATTTTTGAGCAATCTAACCTCCTATCTCTACCAGTGCCAGAACTCGAACGACTGCTAATTATGTACACGAAAGACGTACAGTTTCAATTTGATGACACTATACGCCATCAAAATAGTGTAGAAATGGGAAGTCCACCTAGTTCTGTCCTAGCAGAGTTACTCACGGCTAACTTTGAAAAGACCAAGCTCAAAGGAGCGATCAATGAAATGATATGTTACGCAGGGTATGTTGACGATACTTTTATTGTATGTAACGATCAACAGCAGACAAAACACCTGGTTAACGTCTTTCGCGACGCTGATACAAATATTCAGTTTACCATGGAATACGAAAAGGATAATGAGTTCCACTTTTTCAACAATAGAGTACAACAGAGATAGGATGGTACAGTTCAACATTCAGCTTATCGAAAAGATACGTGGGATGATATTTATATGAAGTTTAATAGCTTTTGTTCGATAAGTTACAAAACGGCACTTATCAAAACACTTCCACAGAAAGGAACGGACATGTACTTTCAATACACTGAAAGCAAAATTATTGAACGTTGAAGAAATCCTAAGAGGCAGTGGGCATCCAAAGGAATTTATTGAACAATATAGGAAAAGTAAAGACAAAACACTCCAAGAAACTGTAGAAGAAAAGAAACCTATATACATTCAACTTGAGTCCAAAAGTGACGACGTTTTAATGAAGATAAGCAGTAGATTAAAAACGACATTGACTAGAACTTATCCTGTATGAAACAATATGTTCTTTACTCCAATCGAAGATCGACAGTTACACCTTTCATGTTACTGCCCACTGCGTATGCGAATTTACATGCACTTGTTGAAACATTCACATTTGTAGAACAGCAAAAAGGGCCCATGTTCGATTCCAAGAACACATCCCAAAAAGTGCCAACTGAACTTAAGGCTTTTAACATTACTATTGCCAAATATTTCTGTGACACAAGGTATCAAGTTGACAGACTGAAATCTTTCAGCATTATCAATCGACAGCCAAATTCCACTTTTGTTAAACTCCTCGGAGCGATAGCCATCAAACGACTCAAGCCAGATTTATGTATCCAAAAGGAAGTAGTTGCAAATCTTCCCTTACCATGACGATTTTATTATCAGTTCATTGCATCGCTCTTGCACCTGTTTTTTCTCTCTTATTTTAGTTGCATCACTACCATTAAATCCATAATTTTATTTTTAGCTAACTGATCCCAACATATGATATCTTAAAATGCTTTTGATTTATGTTCAACTACTTCATTATATAATCAAGTAATTATTTTATCGCGATAATTTCTTACTAATATATCTGATAATCCAGAATCCCATCTCACATATCATACTTCTTTGCAACACTCTTTATATATCTTCACTCTTATTACTACACTATGATGATACATATCTATTTTTACTGTTATAAGCATGCAAACTTTACAGTGATTTTGATTTTTTTTAATATCATAAATTATAAGTAGGTGATGAAAGCCATACAAGATAAAATGAATTCACGTTATTTTGTTCAATTATTTGTTTCTAGTCATTGTCTACTATTATGATTCATAACTTCAACCTGATCTTCACATGACTTCATCTTCAACATATAAATACTATCAGTATAGAGTTGTGGAGATTGTTGAGTTTAGGTTGATATCACGAATGGATTGATGTTAGATCATTATTAAAAACCTGAGAGCACTGGACAGCCGTTTCGTCCTAGTATTGGATTCCTCAGAAGTGCACATTAAGACCGTTGGATGCCTACTCAGTGGTCTAGAAGTTGAGCGTTTGCGCGCGAGACCGAAGGTCCTGGATTCGAGTACAGCGTGCAGGATTGTAGATGAGCACTGTTGAGGAGTTCCAAAATAGGACGAAACGACCGTCTAGTGCTACCAGGTTTTAATTGGTGATCTAATATCGATCCATTCATGATATCAATCTAAATATAGATACCAATCAGCCTTAACTCCTTGATCTAATATACTGCTTCCTTTTCTTATTTCGTATGTCGTGTTGAACTAAACTTCATTGATTACAGTGTATAAAGATTTTTGCAACAATATTACCGATGTAAATTAGAAAGTTTGTAGCTGATGAGAAGCAGATCTTGGGTTTGGGCACGAAATTTCTTCATCCGTTTGGTTAAAGGGCGTTTTGGGAATTTAGCTGATGTCAGTCAGTGAAAACTTTAAATCTAATTGCTAACCCTCACCATCAACTGTAAATCATAGTCATCATTCTTCACACAGGTTTATAACTCTCATTTGGCCCTAGCAAGTGAGTGGACATTTTCAAGGCCATTTTAACTTCGCTCAAAGGTCGGCCATAAATTATAGTCCCACCTTAGGTAATTTCTACACAATTTAGAATGTATATCAACTTTAAAGTCTGTAATTTAATCCGTTATTTTAAAAACCCAGAATTTGATAAATTATCGCATTATAAAAAACTAAAAGTCATATTTCGTTAAACAACCGTGGGTGACTTTATTCATCAAGAGAGGGTATTCTAATAAAATTGTCATTTGTAGCAACAATAATGCGTAGAACTATCAGTTGGCTTTATTATTTTGAGCATGTAAATAATTTGAGGTTTAAGTTGAACGAGCTTCTTTTTAGCTGAAAAGTCGCACGATCACATTACTCCAGTTTCATTAAAATGCATTCATTTTGATGAAACATTAAAAATCAGACTGGTTGACAGTATATTTTAAAAACCAGCCATTAAATCTATTCGAACAGACGGAAGTTATTCACTTTATAATGTGAACTCTATCATTGTTTAATATGTATGCAAACTAATTTGAGCAAGTAATTAATCAATGAGTATGTGCGAAACCATTATTCTGGAATACAACAATTTTTAAAAAAGCCTTTAGTTGGTTTTCTTGGATTGATGGTATTAAAGAATAAAATTTATCAAACCTTACTTGGATACAAGCTGTCTTCAACCCATATAACAGCACCAATCAATAAATAATGGTATTGAGATTTTACTTGAAACAAATATGGAAATATAAAATACTAAAAATATTAAACAAACTGAATAGATTCACAAAATCGATAAATCCAAGTCTAATAATCTTATAGTTTACTTTTAATCACGTTATCACTTAGACTAAATAATGATTCCATCTTTTTAGATGATTATAGATGGCTATTAACAGTATAGATAAATAGGATTCATAGCCAAATGCACTGAAATTGTACGCAAACGCTAAGCTGTATTTAACAGCTTTTTTAATTCTTGAGTAAATTCCTCCAATGTGGTATTCAAATACCAAATAGCTATTCTAGAAATAATTTATCTATGCATGCCGATAGATTAGGTCAAGACTTCAAAGTTAATTTTCCCACTTTTATGAAGGACAGTACAAATGGTGAAAGATGACTTGTCTTCTGGCTTATTTACCGTACAATAATCAGAGTGAAAGTATACAATATTAACAGTCAGAAAAGGTTTCAAACAAAATTGTCTTGAGAATTTCCGTCGCACAGTAGAAAAAGTACAGAGTAATTGACCATTAGTTTGGATTTCATTTCCAAGTAAATCATTATTTTTAATACTTTTTTTCAACTTGTTTAAATCTACTTGAACTATAATTAAAATCGTGATAATTTCTTTTGCTGAATATACTTTCTTTGATAGAATTATGAAACTCAGACTTACTGATAAAAGCAGCTAAGTTTAATCCCTCACCAAATATACAACTTTCTGGTGGATAAGCACCTGTAGAGCTGAAAAAGCGTATAAAATATATTTAAAATGGGTTTTATGGTAACGTAGACAAGAAGAACCATAGATTTCTATCAAACTATCGATTGAGGCATAAGGAAGTACTAATGCTTAAATTCGTTTACACATAAGCTAAGCCAATATCATATTCTTATTTAAAATAAAAAATAAAGCCGTTTAGCTGAAAAAGTATATGAAATAAAGTAGCATCACATATATAAGATAAACTTTCTGATGAAATTCAGACGTCAAACAGATCTAATGTTCATACCAAGGGGTAGACGTAGGGTCCATTGGTAAAAATATCAGTGTTATTCATTGGGTTAAAGAATAATGATGACCGCAGTATTATCCAATAGATCGATATTTTTACAATTGGTAATATACGCATACGATGATGTCCCTTTGGTAAGGAAGAAATAACACATTTTCTTAGAAAACAAAGGTCGAAGATAGGCTTACATCAAGCTTTATCAGTAAAAAGATAAAGTCCAAACCTTCAAGATAATCGGCTACCTTCGATTAAAAAAAGATGATCTACTTAAATGCCCACGTCAAAGACAAAACAGATGCTAATAATTTAGAGAATAGGATTTCGAATGTCCTTGAAGGAAAATATTTTACAGAGACTATGAGAACCATGTCCTATGGTCGACTTATATTTTCGGAAACCTCTCGTATCTGACCGCTTTTGAGTTTATTTGCTAAGTTACTTGTTCTTATGAATCAATGTATCCTGATATTTTGATGTTTATTTTTCCTAAAAGCGTTCAAGAATATTATTTTGGGTGGGTAATTATGGACTACATAAATTGAATTGAAAGTTTTATAGTAGAACATGAAGTAGATATTAGCTCTAAAATCAAAACAGGACTCATTTTTGCAGTATTTAACAAAGTAATAAAGGCCTGTAAAACTTAATATTTATCGCCTTATTGTGGTCCAGGAGCTCTCGATAAACAAATAAAAAGCCCGAACTAGGAATAAAGAAGAAATTCGTTTGACTTCTTTTGAGATTGAACCAACCGGTAGTTCTTCTTTACACATCTTCATCCCCCTTTATCACGCAGTGGGACTCTTGCTTTTTATTTATACTTCTTTTTATTGACTACAATTCAGGTCCCAGGCTTATCTTACTGTGAAACGCAATTCGTTTTGTAATTATCTTTATTTGCCTTATGTCTATTAAATACTCCAGCTCTTTTCAACCTATGATATAATTAACACATTATTCCAAGTCTATTATATGTTTTTCTGTGTTCGATCTGTCGTCTTTTTCATACTTCATAGTTGTAAAACATTATATACAAATGGTTGTACAACTCTGAAAATTAAATTTCCGCAAAAAATCTCTTTGCTGAAAAACATTCATTTTTCCGTCTTTCAGTGAGCTTTTTGTTTACTCACAAACGCGATTGCATTTCCTGATAAGAAAAATGACTTCAATTCAAAAAGTCTGATTTTACATTTTATGTGACTCATTAGTTTAAGACTGTCTAATCAACCTGTATCATGAATGTATTTAGGTTATTTTGAATGAAATCTTACGTCGTGAGCTAGGGTTTCAAATCACTTACTGCTGACTTCTCAAGTATTTCCTCCGGATGTCCTTAATGCTTCCACGCAACTCACAATAATAGTGTATGATACTCCAGACTTCAGTGCCCAATACGTTACTGAGGTTAGTAAATTATTTTGATCATGAAAAAATTGGAAGCAGTCTACTTTGAAGCTACTAACTAGTCAAAAACTTCAACTCATTAACCAAATTATTTTCTTGATTGAAAAAAAAATGTCAGTCAGATTTTAAATTTGGTATCATTTTAGGCTTAATAAACATTCCTTAAAGGTGTATCAGTTATTAACAACTTCATTAAAGTTCAAAGCCCTGTCAAAAACATCACTATTGTTGTTAGCTCGTCAAACATTACAAATGATTTGTTTCAACCATCTCTTATTTGCCTACGACCGAATTTTATATGAAAACACAAATTTCCGTCCTTGCATATCTGCAATCTGCTTACGTCTTCTATTTTTCGAAAGTTATAAACCTCTCACAGTACTGTACATTGTTAGTGGGCTAACTAAAGAGTTTCAGACGGTTATTAATTTAACACAATCTAGACTAAATATAATGCAGTAATGCATTATTACAATCAATATGTATTCACTTGCCTGATAAATGGCAATTCTGCATTTACATGTCCTCTATGGATGGAAATAAGATATCTGTATTGAAGTAAACAAAAAGATTTTATTATATAATAAAATCATCAGGTTTAGTTCTAAAAGCAAATAACTTATAAAATGCTAGTTTTTTACGAAAGATTGATTTAGTCAAGAGATTACATTTTCAAGTTATGCTATTAAATAACAAGCAGTGAACTTACGGGACTGTATTTAACACTTATATCATATTGCTCTATTAGTACTCATCCAAAAACCCGTTTAACAAATAGGGATGTTCAAATACATCCATCTGAAATGACTCAAAAACTGTGTAGACTTGGATTGATAACTCATATTTTTATCTTATTAAGGTAAGAAGCAAAAGATAGTATATATATTCAACTGTATGATGAATCCACGACTGAATGTGTGAACTACTTCACGGAGTAATCCAAAAATATCACACTTTAGTAGATCTTCATCTACCTAAAATATTTATTCACACAATTTATGATCGCTCTTAGAACGCCAAAGGGGAATTTTTCAGTTTCAGGGAATATTTTTCTTACTGCCATCTTCAAGTTAAATATTTGCGATATACCACACATATTGCAAATACATGGTAATCTCCATATTTTTCTGATGCTATCTCAATAACGTTACATAGGGGTTATGTTTATCAGAGAAGCTGAGGTTGGAAGGTTTTTGAAGTTTACTTTTATTCATTGTTACAAACTTTTAATTAGAAAAAAACGGAATTTAATCGTGGAAATTGATTGGAAACCAAGCCTGGAAAGAAACCGGATAGTCTCTATTTGAATATGACATGAATTTTAGAGCTAGGAAATACTAAGAGCAGCAAGATTGATTATGTTGCTGACAACGTGGAGACTCAGTAACAATTGTATGATTTGCAAAATATACTACGTTAACAGATATTTCAAAGCCATGAAGAACATTCAAAACTCTGGGTCTAAAAAAGTCAGCAGCCAAAAATTATATTTTGGACTTAATTACTTTTGCATTTGTTTAAGAGATAAACTTTTGTTCTGCGTTTACAATTCAAATAAAACTGGACTTCATCATGCATGCATTAGAAGTTAACAAATAAGCAATAGAATTATCTACATTTCAGTTAATTTCTACAAACTATTACGGTCTCAATCGATTGTCCAACTACCTCTCCCTATTCTCGTTTAGTTTGTAAGACATAATACGTCCAATAGTTGTAAGTTACTTGAGAATTTAGAAATATATACTCTTTCTGGGTGAACTTGTCATGTATGGGAATAAAAAAGCCAATTAGTTTTAAATACTCTGGAACTTTAACTAGAAATTTATTCCTTCCATCAACTAACAGAAGAATGTTCACAAAGTTGTTTCCAACAGAGCACAACAGTAATCATGTTACGTAAAAGACTTAAATATGTATATGTTTTACATCTGAAATAATAAACACGGGAATGAACTTACGTTGTTAGAACTGTGAAACTCATGATCAAAGCCAATAAAAGCGCAACCCACTGCAGACCAATATGAGGACATGCAACAAACATATCGCTGAGTTCTGTGTATTAGCTGTATATAACCTGGAATATATTGGATGCCATATTTTATAATGTCACTTTTGCACAAAATAGTATCCATAGTCTGTCAATTTTTATCATTTGCTATTCAAATTTGTTTTGGGGAATATTTAGTTTGCCTTAATAGGTCTATTTTTTGTTTATTTATAAACCATTTCGAAATTGCTGAGCCTAAACAACTCTATGACATGAAACATACTATGTCCCTGTATAAACAGTACACATGCAACAGAAACGTCAAATGACATATGTAATGCATAAGTGTGAAAGTTCGAACTAACACTATCAGATCTACAGTCATTCTACGATTTGTAAAAAATGGCTGTGATCTGTGTGTTTAATGATGATTGTTTTGAGCATCAGTATGAGCTTTATCCATAATTCCAATAAAATATCAGCACCTTCTGTTGATATATTCAAAACAACATTGGACTTCCACAGCGTTACAAACTGTAAAGATTAATATAGATCGACAGACCTGTCCTTATTACTGAAGACTGAAGACAATAAATGTACGTGAATTTACGGGGTTTTGCTATCTCTACGTGCAGGTCTCTTCGCATGCACAAAAGTACATTATACATGAATCTGCTGAGTTCTGTTCCATAACCTACGTTAAATGCAATTTTCAAGTTTTGCTAATGTATATGTGTATCGCATTGATATTCACGGCTAACATAAAAACGATATGAATAAATAAACAATTTGTAGATGAGAGACTGATAAAAAATAACGAAAGCCTTAGATTACGTTGTAACAATTATTAAAGACAGAAAGTATCTCCATAATAATATTTTGCAGTCGAATCTTCAAGAAATGAATTCGTAAGTTGAAAAAAGCACAAGTTTTCAGAGGAAATTAAGATCAGATATTTTATCAGCAATATATCCAAAAAATCCGAACCAGAATTTACTGAAGCAATCAAAAAAATATTGACATATGATAACGAAGGTATTTATGCACAAACTAAAGACAAAACATAAGTGCAATAAAACCAACTGTTATATAACATATATATCTGTGATAGACTTGAAAATGAACAGTCGGTTCATATGGAAGCATGTCACGATTTTCGTACAGCCTAAATGGTTTTTTTCACATTCTAAAGAAAATAACACAGCCCTAGACGTGATAAAAACAAATGAATCCTAGCCAACGATTCGCTGGCTGATGAACTTACACTAAATATTGAATATTATCAACAAAGATTTGTATAAATGCGAGTGTGAAATTAGGACAATCGTATAGCGTACGCTAAAAGTATTGTAGAAATTGCGTTCAACTAAAAATCTTCGAATGCAAGTTACTACTTTTCGCGCATATTGACCTTCAAATAACAAGACCGTGAGCTAAAAGGTCAGTTTCATCTTCTTTTTCAATTTGGAAATGTCAGAAGGGTGGTTAGTCACTGTAAATCCTAGCGGCCTCCTGTTTGATCTAGCCTTTAACATGCTGTTGAAATAGTGAGCGCGCTATTTAAAAAAGACAGTGGTATCGCTTCTCGTTGAGTTAGTTAACTGTTTTGATCGTAACTTACGTATCAAAACTGCGATTCACACTTTAATTGAATCTACTACAGTTAAAGTGCTATTCTATGGAGTTTTTCGGCTTTCGTGTATTTATTACATTCGAAAGCATTCTTGGTCTGTATCAAAGTACTTTACTTAAGGTTTGAAATCTTGCTTAATTTTGTCTTGTGGTAAACTTTTATTCGTTGACCGACATTTCTGTTCATACTGTGATCATATTGTGTGTTACACCTTGATCTGACTAAAATGGTCGGTAGAACTCACAAATGTGAACAACTAATCTGTTTGTTCCGTGTGGAGGAGGGAATGCAGTGTTACGAATGCAATAAGTGGTTCCACAAAGTGTGCACCCGTTTAAGTCCCACCGCATACAAAAGATGTTCGAAGCCTAACTCACATTGGCTTTGCATGTTTTTCTGTGCCAACATGGCATTACTAATACAGAAGGCTATGAGCCTATTAGCTTTGGCCTGTAAGAAGAACGATGGCATATGCGCTGACAACACGGGTACTGACAGTGACGAATGTGTGAGTGTAGTACCTGCTGTTACGCGATGCCTCAAACAACCGACTCTGACCGACGTAAAAGCGAAATCTCCGGGGAGTAGTACCACCTGGTACTGACATTGTTAAAAATGCATCTTTAGTGAGAATCGAAGATCTGGATAAAGCAGTCACCGTTCTAAATAATCCCAGTGTTATGAGGGATGAAAATTGAACTACGGTACGTAGGAAACGAAACGAAAAGAAAAAAGCTGTAAGCAGTACACAGGATGTTAGTAACTCACCGGTGGACTCAAATTGTGAGCCACAAATTGCACTACCAAGATCTGATGTTTAGAGTGAAACCCATCCTGGCGTGACTGAGAAGAAAAATCTAATAACATCGAATATTATTGTGAGCAAATTGCGGGAGTCAAACGACCCTGATCCGAAAATTAGACACGCGCATGACTTAGAAAAGCTAGGAGAATACATTCGTAGTATTTTACCAGATAACTCCAAAGGAGTTCAGGTAAAAAAAATTGGTAAGAATAGGCAAGAGGACCGAGGACAATGTCGAACCCCGTCCATGCAGACTCCTTAATGTAATCCTAGGATCGGAGAAGCAACGGGATCTCTTGTTAAGTAGCACTCGTTGTCACGACAATCCTGACATCCGAGTTAGACCTGACATGTCTCTCGAAGATAGAATAAAATGGGAGAGTGCAAAACGGCGAGGAAAATCTCCGGCTAGTGGGTTTTCGGATAGTCAGATCTTGGAAGCGAATGCTACCAAGGCCTGTGTGGATAGGCTGTTCTACTGAGGAGTTATATATTCCAACGCTCGAAAGTTCTATGAACTAGAAGCACTAGTAGACAGGTTTAAGCCACTCATAGTAGCAGTGACAGAAAATTGGTTAGTCCATGACTTGTAACAGCTTAGGTTGGTTGGTTAAGAGTTGACCCCAAACAACCAAGCATATGCCAAAACAGTATTGTTCAAGTATCCATTCACTTCCTTGTTTTGTATAAGCGTTATATTCCCTATTATCTTATATTGAATGTTGAGAGCCTTTGTTTGTCTGAACAGATAATCCCACGCTCCACTGTGACCGCGCTAAGACCGAAATAAAGACCTTTTCACTACTTGTCTGGTTTCTTCTATCAATAGCACGAGGGTTACTTTAAGGCACCAAAGACTTAGACATTACTCCTGAATTATCCGGGTATCATTACATCAGGAGTGATAGACATAGATGTAGAAAAAGAGGCGGCGTCTTGCTATATACAACCAATAGCATAAACATCCGCTTCTCTACTAGCGAATCCCTTGATAGCGGCACTTGTGAAGCCATTAGCTGTAAGTTGGCTATAGGGTGTAGTACATTTATGCTAGGTGTCATGTATGGCAGCCCAATCTGCTTAGCTGATGACTTTATTTTACATCACATTCATCTTTGGAGTGAAAATACCAGATGCTTGATAATAGGAAACCTTAACGCACCTGATATTAGTTGGACTGATATGACCATAGAAGGATCTATAAACCCCTTTGATAGTAGGTTCCTGATAGCAATAATGGAGCATGCACTAGTGCAGCATGTATCTCAACCCACACGTTTTGGTGTTAACCAGGGTTCTTCTCTGCTGGACTTGGTAATCACTCATGAGACTGAGGATATTGTCGACTTAAGTATTCTCCCACTGTTAGTGAACAGCGATCACGCTGTTTTGTCATTCGCGTTTAGAACTAGGGACATGTTATACGATCAGGTTACACCTCGCCCAAATGTATGGAAAGCTAACATACTAGCCATTCAGGAATGCGATGCTAAGACAGATTGTTTGGTAGATACTAGCATATCAGTTGAAGAAGCATAATCTGTATTTAAGGGTAAATTTAGACTAGTTACGTTCCCGTTCATACAATACCTGGTACCGCAAAGACCGAATAACAGTCCACCATGTATAACTAAAACGGTCAGGAAACTCTCTAGAAAAAGGAAGAATCACTGGAATATGTTCATCTCTACTGACTTAGAACAATACAGATCCAGTTATTGTAAGATTAGGAGTGCCTGTAAAGCGTTAATAAGCAAGACTAGACTATCATACAAAAAACAATTGGTTAGGAATTCTAGATATAACCCGAGACGGTTATTTTCGTATATAAAAAGGCGAACTAATAGAAGCGATGGAATTCCACCACTTTTGATACAAGAAAATATGTTAATCTTGGCAGAAAGTGATGCCGAAAAGGTTGAAGCTTTATCGGAATATTTTAGTAAAGTATTTTCTATCGGTAATGAAGAACGACCGACGATTCATCACGACCGTGACGGCTAGCTGATGGATCCGGTAGTCATTGAGAAAGATACTGTTTTAAGGCTACTTCAGCAACTCAAACCTGATAAGTCCAGTGGTCCTGATGATATTCATCCTACGATTACGAAAGGCATATCAGATGAAATTGCTGATTCATTAGCGATACTATTCGACATATCTCTGAGACAGTCCAGACTTCCTACAGACTGGAAAGACGCTATAATAAGTCCGGTGTATATGGCTGGGAGTAGGGATTTAGTTAGTAACTATAGACCCGTTAGCTTAACTAGTGCAGTTGTAAAACTGATGGAGAAAATCATTCGGATAGCTGTTATAAACTATGTTGAAGGGCAAAATCTTTTCTCCAGGGCACAACATGGTATTCGGAAAGCCTATCTTGCTTGACAAATCTTCTCATTGCAAGTGAAGATTGGGCTGCTGTAAAAGATCGGAATGTTCCTTTGGATGTGATATTCATAGATCTAAGTAAGGCCTTCGATAAGGTTTCCGACTCTTGTCCTAAATTCAAACTAGAACGTTATAGGATCCATCATACAGTCGTCGATTGGATAAGCAACTTTCTCCATGACAGGTGAAAATGGGTAAGGGTTAATGGGGCTCTCTCCTCGTGGGTACCTGTAAAAGGTGGGGTTACTCAAGGTACAATCCTAGGTCCTCTTCTCTTTTTACTTTATGTAAATGAATTGCCAACTGTAGCAAAATCATCCATTCTACTCTTCGCTGATGACATAAAGATTTGGAGACCCATACATAGTATGTCGGATAGAATAGTATTACATGACGATCTTAGCTCATCGGTGGCATGATTAGACAGGTGGTCACTAGAAGTAAATCCTAATAAAAGTGTAGTGATGCAGTTAAATAACTCTGATGAATCGTATGACTATACACTACGTGGATTCGTGCTACCCAAAGCAAGAAACTATAAAGACTTAGGAGTTATATTAAGCAATGATCTCAAAACCACTAGTCACTCTAAGGCTGCTGCTGCAAAAGGCTATAGGCTATTATGGTCAATTCGTAGGTCTTTTCAGTATTTAGATGATGAAATGTTTGGATTACTATACCCGATTTATGTGCGACCACATTTAGAATACGGGATTCAAGCAGCGAGTCCTTGTTTCAAATATGAAGCAGATATGCTGGAAAGAGTCCAACAACGAGCTACTAAGATGGTACAAGGTCTATCTGGCCTATCTTATGAAGACAGACTGAGACACCTTAACTTATTTCCGTTATCTTACCCTAGAATACGGGGTGATCTAATATTGGCCTATCATATACTGAACGACGACCTTGGTATTAACATGTCTTATCTTTTGCTACCGTCTAGAACCGATCATTTTAGAGGACATTCAAAGAAAGTTCAAAAACCGAGATCAAATCGTTTACATCTGGAGTTCCGTTTCTCGCACCGAGTAGTGAATTACTGGAATTCTCAACCGGAATACGTAATATCAACACCGCCTGTTAATATATTCAAAACGAGGTTGGACCTCCACAGTATTGCAGACTGCAAGGATTAATATAGTTCGATAGACCTCCTATCCTTGTTACTGAAGACTGAAATGATTATTAGATGGGATAGTGAATTTACATCTGACAAGTAATTTGTTCTAGGCTTGTGGACTCATTTTGATTTAACTAGTAAGTTCTCTGTCTTAGAAGAGAAGAAAAATGAGGTTATGTCGGGTACATTGTTATCTCTAAGTAATTTAGAAGTCATGATCAACTTACTCCTGGTTCTCCTATATGATACGGATTTTTGAGAGCTATGGCCACTTCGCTGAGCATTCAAATGCTTTGTTGAGGAGATTTTTCATATTATAAATCCCACCTATGTAAGACCACACCAACAGTACTTTTCGATAATGCAATGAGAAGACGTAGTTTATC